TGTTACTGGTCATTCAACGAAGGTACAGAGTGACTTCCTGTAAAGCTATGTACATCCAACCGGGCATTCTCGTTCGAGTTGTCGAAGGGTAGAGCGGCCGTAGTCAACATCCACCGAACGCTATTTTCCGCCCGAGTACCGGCTGGCGTGTTACCGGCGGATCGATCATACCGCTCGCTCCACTCTCCGTGTCTCCTCGCGATCTCGCAGCCCTAGCGAGAAAAAGAAGGTCGCGTGCTTTCTCACCGCAGCGTCATACTGCTCGTCCGAGCACGTAGGCAGGTACAGCCGCGTGTGAAAGGAGGGCTTTCGCTTCCTCCCGGAAGACGTAGGGTCGTGAGACGCGTTAAAGATGACAAATCGAGAGTTACGTGGAGCGTCGTGCGGAACAACCGCGAAAATCCGACCTCGCGATTCCGCACGAGAGGGATGGATGTCAAACGCGATCGCACGAAGAACGCTCGTTTTTCTCGCGTGACGCGGCAAGAAACTTATCGTTTGGAAAAAAAAGGGAAGAAAAGGGAAAAGATGGAAACGTTCGTGCGAGATCCAGATACAAGGGTCCCGTGGTAGGTAGGCGGCAACTTCTGCACGCACGACTGAGACGAAATTATCGAGAGGCGTTCGGCTGTACGAATCGCCGTATTACGGAATATTACGAATAGCGCGCTCCGACGCGCCGGCATAATTACGTTTTTATGCTAATGCGATTCTGCCGCTCCATAATAAAGGATTACCGTGCCGGTAGTTATTAACCAAAATTTGGTGTAAGCTGACGTAGATAATGTGCTGGCAATAATCGGCGTAACTCGCACGCATCGGTTCCTCGAGAATGGCGCGTTTTGTGACGACTGCGATCGATTTTCTTGCTCGAGTTTACCCGCCGCGTGAAAGATCATTGTCGGAATTGATTCGGCTAAATATTTATCGGGAGGCTCGTCACATGCGTGATATTATGTTTGGAATGTCTCGTCTGGTGCCGGTTTCGTTTTATCTCTTATTTTATTCGCGCACCGTCGTTTCAAACATGAACGACCGTTACCGATGCAATTATTTAATAAGGAAACGAGTTCCGGGCTAAGCTAATGGCTTTCTAAATATATCCGTTGATACACGGGACACGAAAACACCGCGTGTTGACAGACGCGCGCACGATACGAAAGACGCGAGTTTCGGACCCGCGGAGATATTAACGTAATGAGATTAATTAATAGAACAGAGCCGGGAGTTAATTTAGAAGCGTGTGTGCGGGCGACCGCAGGGTTACTCACATCTGCGATGCGCCACGTTGGTGCCTCTTACAGGACGCTTCAAAATGAGCTTACAAACAACTAATACCGCGATTTCTCCTATGTATTAGGTAGGACCAGGTAATACCCGACTAATTATTCGAGAACAGGCATCGCGCGCGCGCTTGGGCTCGCGTCCTCGCAGGGACGAAGGGTGCATCGCCGCGAAGTTGCTTAAAGCCGCAACGCCGAAACACAGCCCGCAGCGGGCGATCGTAGCAGTGCCGAGAAGAATGCTAATCTGAAGAAATTCACGCGTCCGTTACTTTTCGCTGTGGTGGACGCATCGGCGAGCGGCCCCTTGTTTACGGATAAATGTCTTACTTCCCCTACTTCGCCGGTTGCCGCGGCCATCTTGTTACCCCGCCTTTCCTTTCGAATCCCCTTCGTATTCCCCCTGCGGACGTTAGACTACCACCACCACCATCACTACCACCACGTAGCCCTCGTAGTCCCTCGTCTTACCCTCTCTGGAAAATGTGGCTCCCCACACCATTCGCCCCACCCCCTTCATCCACCATTCTGACTTACCCCTCCCAGCAGAAGGAAGCGCGGAAAGACGTCAAGATTGTTCGCAAAATTTCTCATCGTTGCGAAACCGGAAGAAAGCGCTTAATTAAGTTCTGTTGCGTTTTTTATTTCTTATGTTATGCAAATCGTCGAGACGATAAGTAACTAGTATGGTACTTGGGTCGCGAGTGTGCAACTCGTGTCAGGGATTTAGCCGCACGCTGCAAGGTGGAGTTAAAGCCTCGAGTTTGCCGTGAAGAATTACGTCGAATCGATAGAAGCAGCGAAATCCTGTACGAATTATTTGACTCCCCGACCAATCGCTCGGACGTAGCGCGAAACGATATTTTCCAGTAGTAAAAAAGGATTAGATTTAATCCACCGACTGTGTCGTGGCGCACAATTCTCTTATATCTACTGTGTCCTCGTGGGAATATGTGGAGTAATCGCGTTACGTATCCACTAATTTCTTAATCGATTATAAATTCATGATACATCGTATAACTTTTGCACGACTCAATAAATCCTGATTTGTTTTTTTTTTTTTTAATAACAACTATCACAAATATATTTTCTATTTCTCAATAATTAAAACGATGTAACCGAGCCGTTCGTCGCATCTGTTATTTATCATTATAAATTATTAGTGACAGCTGTTACCTTTGCGCATCAATGTCGCAACATCCAGAAATTTTATTTGTGCATTTTTAGTTTCGTTTGCATACGATGATTACGTTTTAAGTGTCTGATTTAATTACGGAGTCTTTGGTAACGCTTGGTTACGCGAAGAACCGTTGCAAATAGTTTCGCAGCTAACCCACGCCGAGCACATATTTGCATTTATTTGCGAGTGTAAGCATCTCGTTTACGTATGTAAGAGAAGAGTGGTGGAAAGACCGAGAAAGGGAGTGAAATAGTGGCTAGCGGGACACGGAGTCAGATTGGAAGGATTAGACGGATCCTTAATCGGAGAGACCCGGCCGGAGAATGGAATGTCCTCATTCCTGTTAGCCCTTTCGCTCCTGAAGATACGCGGTATTTTGCCAATAAAGATAAGAATCTTCGATTACGACAGATTTTCGCGCCCCTTCCCTGTCTCGCCGTTTCTCCATGCCTCATTCCCTTTCTCTCTTTTTACCGTTTCTCTTTCGTTTCTCTCGCTTTTCCCTTTCCATTCGATTCCACAAGCATCTACCTCGAATGCCCCTATGAAATTCCAGAAATTGCTCTCTGCCGTACGTCTATATTTTCACTATCTTCTTCCTAAAAAAGCACGTTAATCTCGCAATTAAGCTAATTGCCGCGTGGAAACTATTCTCCCGCATTATAATATAATCTACTTAAGACGTACTCGTGTGTCTTTTATATTTTTCACAATTGAATCCATAATTTAACCGTCGTGATACCATTAGGTAAATAATAAAAATCTGTTATTAGCATAATAATAGATTACGTTCTAACTCTTTCCGCCGAAGAAAAGTGTCGACTTTATGCGTGATTATCAATTTTTGTGAATTTATAAAGGAAATCGTGCGAGTGATCAAAGAAGCGAAATGTTTCTCTCTCCCCCTTCCACGTAAGAAGTAAATTCAAGAGACTTCGATCGATCGTGCGTATAAAAGACTCAATCTGGAAACAACGTCGAATCGTTTAATCGATATCGAGCACGAGCCCGGCTCGCTCCGGGCATCTGGCATCAGTACAGAAAATCGAACTGTGGAATAGGGGGACGGGTCGGGACGAGACGGGACGGGATGCGACTCAGGCCGCGGAAGGACGAGCAAGGATGTGTAAGGACGCGTTACTGCAGGTGAAGGAGAAGTAGGTAGAACGCGGTATTCTGGAGCCAACGACGATCAATACCCAACAGCCCGGCACGTACGAGTCTGTATAACTATACCAGTGTATTCGGTGTACACCGTAAGGGGGTAGTTGGTAGAAATAGGGGTGGAAACATCCCCAAGGAGCCGATAGTAGCCCATAGCGCTGCCAACCCACCCCATAGTTCTGGCCAATGGATGCCCACTGCGATCTCTAGGTCTGTGCTACGAATGAGGAGCTTTCTCTCTCTACTCCTTCTATCTCTCCTCTCCTCTTCTCTCGCTAAAGTATATAGTGTATACACATACATAGCACACATACACATATATGTATATATATATATATATATACATATATATATATATATATATGTGTGTGTGTGTGTACATATCTATCTATATTCCAACTCCCGGGGTTTCTCGCTGTCTCCCGCTCTTTCTCCCTCTCTCTCCCTTTCTCTCAGTCTCTCGCATCTCGAGTGTCTCTTAACATTTAAATGCTCCTATTCGTCTCCACGACGGGAGGCGAAGGAGTCCTTTTATAATGCACGAAGATGCGCTCCGTTTCGTCCCCGTCGCGTTATACTTCGTGCTTCTTGCTAGCGAGTCGCGCGACCATTGTTCTTTTGACGTGCACATTTCAAGTCTTATGCATGCTATCAAAACAACGCGAACAATAACCAGCTTTTGCAACATGGATAGATACAAAGAAACTGATTCCGAAGAGGAACGAAGTGGAGACCGATTGAAGCTGCCATAAGCGATAAGAAAAGAGACACGAAAAAGACCAGATAAAAAGCGCTTGCGTATCGTAATTATTACATTTCAAAGGGAATTAAACGATTTTCCGAGTGGAACTTTAATTTCTCGGACGGACGGTAAGGCCGTCGTATCTCTTTCTACCTTCGCGAATACAACGCGATAACGATAACGCGTAGCTACGGAGCGGAACGGAAAATTAAGGCCGGAGAAAGTGATGAAGAGGGTAGACGTGTCATTTGAGCTCAGGTCTCTTTTCTAAATATAACTATCGGGGTTCGCCCCCTTATGAATAAGGTATTGCGCTACTTTTCTCTACGCAGCGTGCGTGAGTGCGGTGCGTGTGTGCGTGCGTGCGTGCGTCTGTGAAGTCACGCAGGAAGATCTTCCGACCCCGACCTCCGACCTCCTCCTACCACCCGCGCGCTACCTTTGACTTTATTACCAGAGGCCGCGAATGAATGGAAGGAGTATGATAAAGCGCGTTAAAAGAGGGTGGTGGTCCACTCCTGAGGGCGCGGAAGGTTGTCTAGCGTCGGGACGCGTCCAGCGGGACGGGTGAAGAAGGGTGCGGAGATGGCCGGAGAAGGGTTTCATTCATGAACGTGTTTTATTGTTTCAGGCACAACGCGACTGGAGAACAGAGCCGGGCCGGATAATAGCGACGGGAGGAACCGGAAAGCATAAACCCGCGCAAAAGTGGAGGCCACTTCAAGCGTTTTCTGCGGCGGTCGCGACCCTTCCGAAAATTATCCAGAACGACCACCCCCACGACCAACGACGGCCGCGGCCTTACCACCACCGCGAAGAAATAACTCGGCGCGAACGGGGAAAAAAATGTTTTTCGCAACAATGGGACGCGCAAAAGTATACTTTCGCGAGAAAACTGTGAAAATGGGCACCCAAAATTAGATTGCTCGTCTCTCTCTCTGTGGAAGGAAGCAAAAGCGTATCTCTGGGCCAAGGTTTTATCAGTAAAGTGAGCGTCACCGATGATGAAGCGTAACTCAAAAATCGAAAAAGGAATAAATCAACAAAAATCGAATCTTCATCAAAGATGTTTTGGAAAATGTCTCAAAACAAGAACAGAAAAATTCCGTCAGACATTCACTCATCCTAAGACAGGAATTACGTTTTTGAACAGCACAGAACAGAATAAAAGTTAATTATCTGCGCAAAGATATGGAAATATTGGCTTTAATGCAGATGTGAAAAATTACCTAAATTGTCTTCATCGTTCTTTAAATGATGAACTGAAGTTTACAAAGTCGCCAGTCAATCGTAAGAAGATTTTAAAAATACAATTCGCTGCAAAAGGAAGTGATATTTTCCTCATTAAAAAGAATGTCCATCAGCGAAAGTTTTGGAATTTCATCAAAGAAGAGAAAATATTAATCCCATCAGCGTTATCTTTTCTTTTTACGTGTAATAACTGTAGTAACATAACAAAAATACCTTGAGTCTAACGCTTCAACTTTAATATTATTCGAACGTGTTCAGCAAGAGGAAAAATTTCTGCCGGCGGAGAAACTTTTAACTTAATTCTCTTACCAGCTTTTATCTCTCGCGCAGTGGAAAACTTTAATGAGCGCAACGAGAATGTGCACTATATATATAAAAGAAACTTTCATTATCTTAAAATAATCGCATATGTGCATACTCTGTAAGAAAAAAGATGATACGGTTTCCGCTTATTTTGCAATTCTCGGTGTTTTTAGTCTCGTTGACACTTGCTTTTACTACCAACGATCAATTAAATATTCATAAATATTTCTTTTTCTCTGAAACCTTCCGAAAAAAAAAAAAACACAGGAAAATCAGGCCAATATTTTTTAAGAATACAATCAATAACTCTGCATTCACATGGTAGCAATGTCCCACGATTATAATCACGGCCGTCGCGAAACTAAGAAAAATATTTGGAAATTAATAAGTGGGACGGTCACTTGAATCCAATCCATCACGCGACATAATAATGATCCGTAGTTGCATCCCAAAGCAATAAAAGCAAGTTACAAGTACTCCATTTTGCAAGTGCACACCTTGCCATTAAATAAGTTATGGGTCTACAACTTAAGGCATTGCCACGCCCCTGTGCAACGGCCTTAACTTCCGGCACTACCTATACGAACCCTTTAAATCCCTTGCTGCAGCGCGCTCTCCTCCCTTTCCCAACCCCTTGCGTCCAGGGGTTGTCCAAAGTTCAAACCTTTTCGATGGACAGAACTTTTCCCGTTTCAAAAACGCTCGAGCGCATACCGTCGTTGAAGAAACGTGCAGACCTCACTAGCCGAGAAAAACTACTAATACGTTCGATTGTTGGAGATCTTTGAAAGAGACGCGCGCACTGAAATTCAGACGAAAATTCGACGCAATTTTTTCGATTTGTCAGAATATGTGTGCACAAAATTCAGCGACGCGATACGACATAATAAACCTACGTAAATCCAAATTAAAGCACGCGCACACAAATCAATGCTCCTGCTTTACAGTTCAAATTACTCGCTTAATTACAAAATAACCAAAGACTATCGTGCGATACAATTTAATCGCTTAGTAGACGACTCACGCTCGCTTCCATTAATCTAAGGAGTATTTTACTGACCAAAAAGAGGATCATACGCAGTCTGAAATCCGCAATTTATAAATTCTAATATCGCAAAGGCCGGTGATCCGCTTCCTCAGATATTCAATTGAATCGCCATTTAAAACATTCAATTTCTGTACTCTCGTTGGAACTCACTTAATGTCGCGTATAAAATAAACGCAGGTCACGAGGCTCACGTGAGAAGCCAAAACACCTCCGTGTACACTTTTATTTCCGAGCCCGTCCACGTCGGGGAGGACTCGGGAAGCATGAGCGACGCGTTAACACATAAGTAACATTACCGCACGGCCGGACCGTGTGTTAATCACATATCTCAAAATTCTCCGGAATCAACATGCATATATTCAAATTAACGCGAGCCGCGTAAGTGAGCGCGCGAAGGACTCGGAGCCTTAATCTGTTTTAGCGCGGCGCGTCAGCAAAAAACCGGCAGACGGCAGAGAGCAGAGAGGGAGTAGCGCGCTTTTTTTCCAAGACGAGTGGAAGAAACGGCCCCGAGCTCCCAATTAGCGTTCTTACCCCCGCCCGCGACAGTCGCGAGGGGCAAACGCCGGGCTTCAGGACGGCGTCGGGGCGCAAGAGAGCGAGATAAACCGCGCGATAAAACGCGGTACACGCTCGCATCACCCACACTCGTCCGCGACGACTACCGTCTCTTCCTCCCTCTCTCTCTCTCTCTTTCTCTTTGCTTTTTTCTTCTTTTTCTATTTTCTTTTTTGCTCACTCATTCTAGCTTCACGCGCGTGCACGCCACCGGAAGGGCGGTAAAGTAAAAACAACGGAGAAATACGGCCAAGAAGAGCTCGTATCTCGCAACCCCCCGACTTCGCCTTGGGTGACTCTCACGGATTCAATGTGTAAATAATACGGCGAAACGACAGTCTTGCAAATATTTTGAAAATTTACGCGTCGACGTGGCAAATAGCAACATAGCAGGGTGGAAAAATTTATCCGAGTCGTGGAGGAAGCTTAATTAAAACTGTACATGGCGTACGCCTATCACGAGACTATTTTTCCTTTGGTTCAATTTCCCTTGAAAGTTACCGGAATGAATTTCTCGAGCTATTTAGAGCTGAATATTCTCAAAAACATCAAAGTATCACGTTATCGACATTATTCTCAAGTGATTGAAAATACAAACAATTTGACAAAAACCTTTCAGTACCTTTGGACAGCGTACTTTGACTTTCGCTGAATTTCAGGCACAAACGCTACTTTGTTAGAAATTTAATTTACGGCTGATCGTAGGAAACATTTATGTCAGAATGTCAGATTGTATTGAATAAAATTTACTCACCCAGAGATGCAACATCGCAGCTTCTAACGTTTAAATTCGTACTGAAACAGAAAAACGCAAAAGTTCGATCAAAATCCGTCTTACGTGGTCTACGATAAAGTGAAATCTACCACGGTAAATTCATTAACTGAAGCGGAGGTCCGATATTAGACATGGTGAAAAATTCTTTACGCCACGCTAATACTTTTACTTAAATCAAGATGCAAGTCCGCGAAACAGGCATTAAAGTACCTTTTATTTCACCACCGAACGTCACACCTGACTCGCTAATAAAAAATTCCAGCGACTCCATTTCCGGCGAATATGTAATTTACATTTCCGCGCAGAAAGGGCGAGAATTCGTGAAGACATAGGGTCGAGAGTCAACGAACGCATGGGCGGCTCGCTATTTTCAGGCCTTTACGAGAAATTCATGCCGTCCAGGGGTTAACGCGAAGGAATTGTCCTCGGGCTCGGCTCGGCCACGTAGCACGTAACACAGTCAAACGCTTTCCACTCGGCGCTACCGGAGCACTACCTTTTTTCTCACCTCTTCTTTCACGCCAGCGACTGTTGAGAACACGCGCGCCGGCTGAGAAACGCACGACACTCGGCGGCACGGCGCGCTAATTATTTAATTATTTATTTACCGGCTTCACACACATATAGGCGCGCGCGCACACACGTATTTCGCGGGATTATACCGCCGGTCGGCCAAGTTTCATTCTTCATCGCGGCCTATTAGCACGCTCGCGCTCCACCCACGCTCCACCTTCGTGGCTCCTGCAGACGACTAATTGTTTACAAAGCGGCTCTTTACTGCACGGTGTTTACGTACTAATCAGCCCGCGCACATTTTAAACGAGTTTAATTTCGCTTCTTTGGCTTTGAGAACCGCTCTGTTTACCATCACGCACGACGACGGAATTATTGCTTTTGAGAATTTTTGATCATCGCACGCGGCCTTTGTCAATTACGCGTTTCATAAATTTTAGACGGTCTACAACTGCACACGAGCGATACATTTGAAATTAATACTGTCGAAAACGGTCCGCAAATAATTATACAATATATATTCTGGCAAATGCATGGAAATGCGCTCGAAATTGTAATGAGAGGTAGAGACCTGGAAGAGGACGATAAAAATGTAGATATGGATAACCATGTGAAACGCGCAAATCTGCGAACTGTTGTTCCTTTAACAGCATTTCACGAGGATACCTAACGAATTGTTCATCAAGCGAAATATAATATGCAAATGTAATAATACTTGCACAAACTTTTAGTGTGTGTGTAGAAACATATCTTGATACAACACGTTGCTTAAATATTACTTCAGCACGCGAACGAACATTGCTTATGAGCTTCACGAGACAATCCTATATGCATGTATGTGATTTTGAAAGTGGTGTAAAGTCAAATTTCGTAATATTATCAATTTCAATGCGTTGTGGGTATAAGTTTACGTTGTGTGAACAACTTCAATAGGAATTTCAGTCTGTATTCTCAATTAGCTAAATGTGTCACGCGTATGTGACTTGATCGAACAGTTTTTGCAAAAAAAAATAAGCTTGTGGGAAATAGCATGCGTAAAACTGCACTTCGTGTTTAACAAATTAGCATATTCACTGGAAAATAATCATTGTATACATTGTTAGCTGGATATACCGGTGTTTATATCTGTTTATGTCATTACAATTATCTATGATAATCTGATGCCACTAATAACGTAAATTACTCCATTTCTTATTAACATAACAAGCGTTTATTTATTAACGAAAATCATGAATCCATTTATATCGTAATATATTCGCGTTTATCTAAACGAACGTCAATTTAATTTTATTACCATCCGTCCTATGTCAACTCTCGTTTAAATTGCTATTCCTACAGCCGAATCTGTACTTCCAGCTGAACTATTGCAAGCCCCAAAGAATGAAGTTTCGGGTTTTTTATCGCGTTACAAGATTCGTTTGTCTTTATAATCGAAATATATGATTTTCATTTGTACGTGTGTGTGTGTGTTTGAAGAAATATATAATAAGTCTCATCAAAACTACATATGTTACATCGTTACTCATCTATTATTTGAAAATGACTTTCGAAATTAAATATTAAATGTATATTCGCTTTACGATAAATTCTTTTTTTATCTCACGATAAAACAAAATGTGCTCTACCCGTTATACACAACGAGCGAATATGACGTACGATAGCACAACTCTGAGATGTATATAATAAAAAAAACATTATATGTTTCTGTATACAAATTGTACACAATTATTGTAAATTACGCCAACAACGAACGAATGGATCGGCATATTTCTGGACAAACGAATAAATACGTTATTTCAAGGCCCATAAAAGACCGCAATGTATAATTTGCTCCGCAAAACAATATTCCCCCACCCTATCCTTTTCTTTCCCCTCTCATCTCGTTTCCGTTCAATAATCGCTACTTGGACCAGCAGCTGAATCAACATCTGCTGGACCGGTTGGTCATCTCGATGTCCGGTCACGGGGAATTGAATCGACGATATTCTTTTGCCGCGCAAAGCACCGCAAACCGGTCGCTACTCGCGACTGGTCCATCAAGATGCTGCACGCGCTCCGCAAAATCGTAGACCAGTTCGTCCAGCAGCGGAGCGAACGCGTTTGACCAGCCCTCGATTCCGGCGACGGACTGGTTTCGAGAAATCGCGTCTTCGCCGGGGATTCATTCCTCATCGATTTTTGCGGCAGCGCTTAGCCACGAGATCAGTGAACGTCGCGACGCCGAACACGACGGGATTCGATTCGCGGTGGCGAGTGAAAAAGGCTTCGAATAGCCCCGTCAAATTTGTGTCGTACGATACATATAGAGCGTCCCGCAAAACTCGGGAACAATCTCATTCTTGATGAAATCGGAGTTAACATTTTCTTGACTATCTAATCTTTCTTTGCTCCGCGGGCAACCTGTGTATTCGCTCAATCCTTCGAAGGTGACGACTTTTCCGCGAAGATAACCGGATATCTATGGCAAATCGAGGAATCAGTAATTAACTAAATTATATTCTCTTCGCCTCCGGGTGCAAAGCTGAGGAGCTAAGCGTTTGATACCAATCGAACATCATATAATTATCCCGATAATCTGAGTGAGGTTATAATTAAGGGACTTATCTACGAACAATGTAATTGAATCTCGTTAAACACATATATTAAATCTTAATTAGATAGAGATACATGTGTGAGTTACCGATCGGTTCCTCCCTGAGCGGTCCAGAGCGTAGGAGGTAGAAGCTTACCCCTAAGTCGAGTAGGTGGCTGTAGGGAAGCGTCGGACATTTGCGATCAATAATTAACCCTCCCACTGTCTGACTGCCGGAGCCGCTCGCAAAATGGCTTCACACGCCATCTCTGTGATACTCGCGGGACAAAATGCTGGATTCGCCTTGTTTAATCAACAAATGCGTTTTCTTCCGAAAATTTCCGCCAAATTGAATTGTTCTCCGTCGCGAAAGTATCAACCGAGTCGCTTAATATTGCGTCAGATAAAGGAACACCTCACCAAAGAACGAACTTTAATTATCTTTTATCCGAGAATTTATCCGATAAAATAATCGTGAGATGAACAGCGTTGTATACTTTTGATCTTTTGTTCATCGGCTTCGCGCTAAGTTCTGTTGAGGGTGCCGCGAACGGGGGATGTTTTCTCGACGGGCGTAATTCACGGAAAACGGTGTGGCACGGACATCGAGATTAATTCAGTTGAAGTCGGTCAATCTTAAGGCGACAGCTGCCGCTGAAGGAATCCATTAGTAGGCTTATGGTCGCCGTCGTCTTTCCCGGGGGCGACTGGCGCCCACCCCGACCCGGGGAGAAGCATAACTCTGCTTTTGTCCGAGATAATAAGCCGCCATTGTTGAGATACGCGGATCCATCCAACGGCCTTATTGTCCATCGACCCGCTTCGCTGAGAATAGCCGCGATAAGAGTGAAATTCTCGAGATTCGTAGACCGACCGTAACGAGCGCGAACCATCGCTGTTTTCACTCAAGAACGCTGCGAATGAGCGTTCGAAATCAAACGACAGGTTAAGCATAGCGCGTGTAATCTGCTGACGACGGTTTCGCTCGGCGACGTTTGCCGTGGTGGTTAACAATTTACCGATTATTCATCATGTACCGATGGAACGCAATTAGAAAAGTTGCCTAATGAATTATACTAAAACGTAATGAAATATTTCGATAGAATTTTAACGAATTAATCTATGTAACGCTGTTGATTTCTTTGAGTAAGTTCGCAGTTACTTTAGACAGCTTTGAGAATATTGTAGTTACAAGATTTCTATTCAAGATTTCTATGTTGAAAATCAAAGATATTCAATATCAAAAGTGACATGTGAGTTCATCTTCTCTCAATTAGAAAAATTATGATCGAAAGATACGTGTTTCTTGATATACACATGTCAGCTAAGATACTTTGCTTAGTTACCAACATTTCTTGTAGCACACGAAATATATGTAAAGCGACTATGCTGCTTCTAAGAAGCTTTCATCTCAATAGCTAAAATTTATAGTGTACAGAACAGATTAGTTAATTATCTTTTGCGATATATATAAACTTTTACTTTTCTAAGTTTGTTATAAATCTAATATATGCTATAACGTTGCTCGTTTAAAAGTATACTTATTACGTCAAAGAGTAAAATAAAGTCTGGTTCGGAACTCTTTCAGAACGACGATAAGTAAATCCACCGTCAAACGAACGCAACAACGAAATCGCGTTGCTATTTCGTGTAGGAACGCAAAATATTTTATTTCGTCTTGAGATATGCCGACGGATCGAATGCGACGGAAAAACGAACGTTTAACATTTCGGGAGAGAAGAAGGAAGAAATACGAACGCTCCTTCAACTAGACACTTTTTCGGGATTCGCCCCGCGACGATAATACGAGTCGTGCACGGCAATGGGAAATCCACGGCGACCATCGTGGCCATGGCTATGGGGTCGCCTTGGCTCGTGAAGCGGTACTGCACCCCCAGGAACAAAGTTATATCGGCTCCTGGTGCCGGGATCGTG